GAAATATCAGTGGACATAACAACCTCGGTGTATTCATCATAAAAATTCGCCCTCCCCTTTAACTGTAACACAAGACAAATTCTGTTAAATTACAAAATCTATCATTGTCAGTATCTGCTTAATTACTCTGACGCTAAACCATTTTATCTTCATTGAAAACTTGTACGAAGTTTTTTTAATCTCTTAATATATAAGCTGTGATCAGGGGAAATCATAGAGAGGGGAGCCTAACTCGCTTCAGATGATATTCAGACAATGGCGGATTTATTTCGGAAATATCTAGATTTTACATAATAAATAGACATAAAATCCGAACATACCGATAAATTATCCTGCTAATTCGATTGGCTTAAAGTTTTTTGGTGTTTTTATTTCGATAAGTGTATGAACCCTTGACCGGTTATTTGGGGTCTTCTTCTACACTCCCAAAATATGATAACAAATTATTGTCACGTGCTCGTGTGTGTCAAAGCACACGAATGCACTCCATTAAAGTGTTTTCTACGTGTATTATAAAAATATAAAAATGGGGGGGGGGGGAGTCTTATTGAAAATGTTTCAGAGCATCGAAATTACTTGATCTAAGCCAAGAATAAAAAGGCTGATTGTTTGTTTGTTCTTAATATTTCTTGAATTAATGTCTTTTCGTCCCCTGACGATATCTAAAAACCAATTTAGGGGGGGATTAAATGTTTGATTCTAAATGTCTTCACAATCGTAAAATTTTCTTCAACGCGGATGAATTAATATTCAGCAAGAAATTTACATAAAATCTTTGTTTTTTTTTTAATTAAACTGATTTCCACCTGAGGAAAAAAAAGTGTCGGTGCTTTTACATAATTTTGATTTCGGGTACCAGGTAACACTGCTTCCTCGTGTAAGTATTAATTTGATTAAAATCATACAATTTTTGAAAATTTTTAAATGACAAAAATGTCAATGTCTTGTTTTTAACTATAGATGTCAATAATACTGCATTGGAAAGCCCTTAAAACTTGAAAATGATCCTCCGCCTCCACAAAAAAACAATGACTAAAGAATGTGATTTGGTGTAAGTCGCCCAAACATGTTGGATATTAAAAAAGGGACTCCGTGTAGTGGTATTATAATATAATCATTGAAGGCTCTGAGAGTCTCATTCAATTATAGCCTCAGATTATAGCTAGCACTAGCTGCAATATTATCAAGTCAAAACTTCTTTTTTTTTACCACATTATTCACTTCTTTCCGTATTTATTCTCTGTTTCACTATATTGACAATTTAACAAGTAGACGATTCCAGAATGTATATAAATAATGCGAGTATACAGTTGTTGGATATAATCGAAATTTCGTATTTCATATTATTATCCTGCCCTGAAAACCTTTCCAATGTTTTTTAGGGAAGAACCTCTCATATATAGTGTTCATGCAAGTTGGCTACTTTATCTTCAGCATAGTTCACTGAATCAGCATAGGCGGATCTAGGCCCCCTTTAGAGGGACAAATAGGTTGATTATATATGGAATCACTGATCCATGACTGTAACGGACCCCCTGATAAAAACTTCTGGATCTGCCACTGGAATGGCTAATTGTAATGCACAAACTTTCAGGAAAATATAAATATTTGGCAAGGATGTCACTTTTTCTTTAGGAAGTATCCAATATTCCGTCAATGAAACAAATCTGGAAAAGGGTTGAATCATTATCAGAGACATATATACATGTATATATATATATGTGTCTCTGGTTGAATAATTTGTATATTTATAAAATCTGGATGGCAGATCTTTGACGAAAAAAGTAACCTTTTTAAATTATGACGATTTGAAGCTTGACATAAGAAACAGGTAGGCACCGTTTATAAAATATTTTTCTTTAATACCTCTAGATTTAGATTCTATGCCTTTTGGGAGTTTTAAAATATATATATATACCCTTATTTGCTAACATCAAGAACAGAGCTCTATTCATTTGCTGCTTACTACCCATGGAAGTAAGTATCTATATAGACGCTGGTGTTACTCCAAAAAATGTTATCGTTCGCTGCCGACGAAACACCTTTCAATATCGTGAATATTTGTTAAACAATACGGATACAGGAATTAGGAGTTTCCAATTCACTTGGATACCAAACATTCACTCCCACGTCCATGCATTCAAGAAAGAGGATATCTTAAAAACTCATAGGCATGTTTAACGTTTAGTTTTTGTATTTCAGCCAAAGATGCAGACACTCGAATTTTCTTTAACAAGCTGTGCCCTTTTCTTGACAAACACGTTCTTTAACTTTTTGGGGCAGATTTCACACAGAAGCTTCTTTGAGCGTGTTACAAGAAATATAAGAAGCTGACATCACCCCTTTTAACATGCGTACTTATCTTTCATATTCTTTTCTAATTTGTTGTTTCCAGCTGCAGAGTCAGCATTGTATTTTAAAGGGGAACCATAAGTCGTATGTCGATAATATTTGCGATACAGTTGCCAGAGGCTGAATAAAAGATTGGTAGTCAGGGTGCCCGCTCCCCCTCTTATGAAGCTTCATTTAGGGTTAATACAGATTTTTGCTGTTTCCACTCCAAACTTTGTCTAGGTTGGGGACCCCTCCACAACCCGTTTTCGAAATCCTGGATCTGCATCTGGTTGAATTAACTGAAGCACATCTTATTTCCATGGAGATTTTTAGCCCAGCCCATGGTCAGGGTTTATTGACTGTAAGAGCTTTTGCATGCAGGGACATGAATGAGTTATTTTTCAGTAGATTCATTTGGTCTCTGGTGGAGAGTTGTCTTTTTCATGATTGGCAATCATACCACATATTTTTATTTATTATAAGGATGACATTTCTGTGTGTCAACCGTTTGTTTTTAAATGTTAAGCTGTTACACCCTCACAGGTTACAGGAGAATTTAGAACTTACAATATGTGTAAGCACCACAATCTCATTCTGTATGACCTTGTTCTAAGTAAGTAGTGGGAAACTCTGTGGTTGTTGTTGGTTGCTTTTGGTCATATTAACTTTTATTTGTTTGACACTTGCATTTATAAATGTGTGAGGATCCTGATTTTACACCAACAAACTACACTACTTATAAAAACACCAAAATGTACAATGCAACAGGGATAACCCAGTTGTATCTGCATACAAACGATATCCTTTGTCTATCCTAGGGCCATGTATCTTAAAAGTAAAACAAACAACAACAAAAACTGCCAGCACTAGATACATTATAAACCAATATCTCAGGACCACCAAATTGAACAAGATTATAAAAGATTGCAAATAATTTGGAAAGAGGGTTAAAAAAATATTAGTCTAATTGGAGCTTGGTAATGTAGCTATTTATAGCTACTTACTAAAAAGTGTGAATAGAAAAAGAAAATAAAGTGTCTTTATTTACACTTATATCCATTTATCTCTCATACAATGAATATTTTTGTTGTGGTGTTAATAATTGAGCATCTTTATAAAACACACTATTTATTTATTTCCCTCTTTAGAACAAAATCTGCTTTAATTTAATCAACATGTAGATTTAGATTCTATGCCTTTTGGGAGTTTTAAAATATATATATACCCTTATTTGCTAACATCAAGAACAGAGCTCTATTTATTTGCTGTTTACTACCCATGGAAGTAAGTATCTATATAGACGCTGGTGTTACTCCAAAAATTGTTATAGTTCGCTGCCGACGAAACACCTTTCAATATCGTGAATATTTGTTAAACAATACGGATACAGGAATTAGGAGTTTCCAATTCACTTGGATACCAAAAATTCACTCCCACGTCCATGCATTCAAGAAAGAGGATATCTTAAAAACTCATAGGCATGTTTAACGTTTAGTTTTTGTATTTCAGCCAAAGATGCAGACACTCGAATTTTCTTTAACAAACTGTGCCCTTTTCTTGACAAACACGTTCTTTAACTTTTTGGGGCAGATTTCACACAGAAGCTTCTTTGAGCATGTTACAAGAAATATAAGAAGCTGACATCACCCCTTTTAACATGCGTACTTATCTTTCTTATTCTTTTCTTATTTGTTGTTTCCAGCTGCAGAGTCAGCAATGTATTTTAAAGGGGAACCATAAGTCGTATGTCGATAATATTTGCGATACAGTTGCCAGAGGCTGAATAAAAGATTGGTAGTCAGGGTGCCCGCTCCCCCTCTTATGAAGCTTCATTTAGGGTTAATACAGATTTTTGCCGTTTCCACTCCAAACTTTGTCTAGGTTGGGGACCCCTCCACAACCCGTTTTCGAAATCCTGGATCTGCATCTGGTTGAATTAACTGAAGCACATCTTATTTCCATGGAGATTTTTAGCCCAGCCCATGGTCAGGGTTTATTGACTTTAAGAGCTTTTGCATGCAGGGACATGAATGAGTTATTTTTCAGTAGATTCATTTGGTCTCTGGTGGAGAGTTGTCTTTTTCATGATTGGCAATCATACCACATATTTTTATTTATTATAAGGATGACATTTCTGTGTGTCAACCGTTTGTTTTTAAATGTTAAGCTGTTACACCCTCACAGGTTACAGGAGAATTTAGAACTTACAATATGTGTAAGCCCACCACATTCTCATTCTGTATGACCTTGTTCTTAGTAAGTAGTGGGAAACTCTGTGGTTGTTGTTGGTTGCTTTTGGTCATATTAACTTTTATTTGTTTGACACTTGCATTTATAAATGTGTGAGGATCCTGATTTTACACCAACAAACTACACTACTTATAAAAACACCAAAATGTACAATGCAACAGGGATAACCCAGTTGTATCTGCATACAAACGATATCCTTTGTCTATCCTAGGGCCATGTATCTTAAAAGTAAAACAAACAACAACAAAAACTGCCAGCACTAGATACATTATAAACCAATATCTCAGGACCACCAAATTGAACAAGATTATAAAAGATTGCAAATAATTTGGAAAGAGGGTTAAAAAAATATTAGTCTAATTGGAGCTTGGTAATGTAGCTATTTATAGCTACTTACTAAAAAGTGTGAATAGAAAAAGAAAATAAAGTGTCTTTATTTACACTTATATCCATTTATCTCTCATACAATGAATATTTTTGTTGTGGTGTTAATAATTGAGCATCTTTATAAAACACACTATTTATTTATTTCCCTCTTTAGAACAAAATCTGCTTTAAATTAATCAACATGTAGATCACAATTATAACCTTCATCTTCAGCAGTTTTCCATTCTAACCTGAAATTATAATGTTATACATGTAGTGAAAAACAAATCCAATATAAGAAAAAAATACAATATGCAATTTAAAAGTACAATGTAAATGTGAATTATATATTAATGTCTAATGACAATAGCACATCTCATTTTATTGCATATACAAAAAAAGTTTTAAAAAAAGCCCTTACATTTACTATGCTTTATCAAATTATCATATATAAAATGGGTAAATTTTACAAAAGCATTTCAACCTAAACATTTGAATTGAAATAATCAATGATTGTGTGTTCTTAAAAAGTGGCAGCCCTGTCAGTCTGGACTCCAAAAATCAAGAAGGTCAATGTTGTTGTAGTCCTGATTGCAAACTATTAAAAAGTTTGTGGTTGTTTTATTTTCTTATTTTAGACTGTCTGGTATTTTATATTGGTATACATGTAGCTGCTCAGTGGCAGATCCAGAACTATTTGTAAGGGGGGCCCGCTGACTGACCTAAGGGGGGCCGCTCCAGTCATGCTTCAGTGATTCCCTATATAATGAACCAAATTTTTTCCCACAAAAGGGGGGGGGGGGGGGCCAAGGCCCCCCAGGATCCGCCTATGCTGCTGATTACAAAGTACATCAATATTTTAAATGTAAACTGTGCAAGCACATTTTTCAATGCAGTTTGGCTCAATCTAAATTACACGTACATGTACGAAAATATGAACAATCTGCAAATACATGACTGAATTTCACTGAGACTGGTCAATAGCTGTAGGCTATGAAAAATATTTTGAGAACTTGGCAATGTTAATTATAGACAATAATATTTTAATGTTTGTTTATGTACATGTGCACTTGTTTGTATTCTTAAATCTTTGAACTTCCAATTCATTTTAAACAGAGTTACATTTGTAAGTCAATAACAGGAAGAAGAAAGAATATTTTCCATGAAATATTACATGCAACTTTTCTCACAAGTAAAAATAACTATTTGAGTATAACTTTAATATCTTACCTTCTTTCTTTCATTTTTGTACATATAGTTGATGAAAAGTAATGTGTTACAACACTACAACATGTGCAACGTTTTAAAGAATTAAAGGTCGCTATAGTAGTGTTTTCATAGTCTGTATGAAAAATTGCAAAATCAGCTAGGATGTTGGATTCCATGTATTTCCATTGACTGAAATTATATGAAGACATAATATGAATATGAACATGACTAGTACTGGATCATTCAAAGCAAAAATAAATATTGTAGGCTAGCTAAAGGACACATATCTAGAGTGATATAATTTCATGAATGATGGATATTGTTTTGCAATGGTAAATCATTATATGCAAATACAGATATAAAAAAAACCAATACTATTCATCAACTAGTTTATACCCTAGTGAGACTTTTTTACTTTCAATTAGAAATGTTAATTCCACATATTTTACATGATGGTGACAAGATATATGCTTACTCTTCCAGATATCAAACTCATACAGTTTATCTAAATGGTTCTATCAAAGATATAAATATAAATATGGCTATTATATTATAGATATAATATAGATATGGCTATTATATTATGGATATAATATAGATATGGCTATTATATTCTAGATATAATATAGATATGGCTATTATATTATAGATAATAAAAGATATAATCATGATAATATAGATATGGCTATTAAATTATAGATATAATATGGATATGGATATGGCTATTACATTATATTATAGATATAATTTAGAAATCAAATGGCTATTATATTATAGATATACTGTATTATATTTTTTTACTATTTGTGCACCAGACTCTATATGGTCCACAAACAATTAAAAAATATCATATAAAGGACTTTAAGAGCTACGGTTCCGCAGATAATTATAACTATGATGCTATGTAGTGTTTCAAAAATTTGTTTGTCTTTACATCATTCATTTGTCTTTTTTTTAATGGTGTTGTAGATTTTGTTTGACCTACTTTTTGCATGTCCTTCTTGATGTCTAATCTGTTTCTTTTTTCTACTTTATTGTTTTCAATATATTAATATATGATAATAAATAAATTTGGTGTATTTACTGTCTTCTGATTGGTTAAAAGTATTACCTTTATTTTCAATGTTGTCAATTTTTATGGCGACACGCCCACTCTGACGTTGTGTATTCATACGCCAACATGTGTGTACGTTGTTATTGTTAATATAAATAATATAAAAAGCTCTTTGAGCCTTATTTTTGATAGAAATATATTTATAATGAATGACGATAATTTATTTTGAATTTATTGAACCATATAATTAATTTTTGACTCTTCACATTTTACATAATCCGCTTCGCGGATTATTCAATGTGAAGAGTCAAAAATTAATTTTATGGTTCAATAAATTCAAAATAAATAATAGCCATTCATTAAATATAATTTACATGTTTTTAAACAATATCACTGTAGAGTCTACTATATAAATAAAATTTAAAGACAAACATACATGTAGACCCTTGATACAAGATGTATGTAGTTCCTTACATGTAAAATCATGTCATTTTTTTATATAATGTAGTAATTAAAACAGATATATTGAAATATTCATACCATACAATGCTTACACGTTTTCAATGATACATCATGTGTTGAAGTACACAAACAACTGGTTATGGTCGCTCATTTGAATAACAATGAAGAGGCATAACATGTGTTTACAAAATGTATAATTTGGATCCGATCTGCAATGATGTTGTCATATAAACATTCGAAAACCTATTAAACTTTTATCGGACCTTAAGTTTTAAGAAATATCTTATCCAAAAAAGGAACAATTGTCAAAAATTCATAAAACCAAGACTTGGTTTCACCAGACATGTGTTTTTGCATCATTTTTAGAAACATCGCGGTATATCTCAATAACATGAGAAATTTCAATTATCAAAATATGATAACATCAAAATTTTCAACTCAGAGTACCATAAACACTAATCAAATATAAAATTGGGTTGCTCGATTTTCTAAATTCAGACTTTCAAATTGACTACTTACGTGTCTGACTATGACCGGAATTTTCCAACATGGCTTCTATCCGGAAGTTAGGTAGGCCTGCTGTGATGATAGCATATTTCTTTCATAAATAACTGTCACACAAAGCTGGAGCTATTATACTAGACAAGAAACCATTCCGACTTTTGAATGTCCCCTTAGTTTCTTCCGCCTCTTGTATAACAGGGATTGTTCTGTTCTAATTTCATAATTATTTATTTTCATGGTCCACTTGAATTTTATAGGTCTTTAAAATAAACAATAAAAAAATTCCAATTTTCATATATGGTACATGTAGCTGAATTTTATATTCTATTTTTATACGACCGCAAAAAAATTTTGCGGTCGTATATTGGTATGACGTTGGCGTCGTCGTCGTCCGAAGACACATTGGTTTTCGCACTCTAACTTTAGTATCAAAATGTTCAATACTACAAAAGGAAGGTTGGGATTGATTTTGGGGGTTATGGTACCAACAGTAAAGGAATAAGTGGCCAAAAAGGGGCCAAAAATAAGCATTTTTGTAACTTCCAGACATAACTTGTGTGTTAGTGTATGGATCTCTCTGACATTATACCACAAGGTTCCATATCACAAAGGGAATGCTGGGATTGATTTTAGGGGTAATTGCCTCAAAATTGAAGGAATTAGGGGCCAAAAAAGGGGCAAAAAACAAGCATTTTTCTAGTTTCATGACAATAACTTGTGTGTAAGTGTATGGATCTTTCTGAAATTGTACTACAAGGTTCCATATCACAAAGAAAAAGCTGGAATTGAGTTTGGGGGTAATTGCCCAAAACGTTTAGGAATAAGGGGCCAAAAATAAGCAATTATTTTCTAGTTTCCAGACAATAACTTGTGTTCAAGTGTATGGATCTCTCTGAAATTGTACTACAAGGTACCATACCACAAAGGGAAGGCTGGGATTGATTTTGGGGGTTATTGCCTCAAAATTGTAGGGATTAGGGACCAAAAAGGGGCAAAAAACAAGCATTTTTTTAGTTTCTGGACAATAACTTGTGTGTAAGTGTATGAATCTTTATGAAATTGTACTACAATGTTCCATATCACAAAGGAAAAGCTGGGCTTGAGTTTGGGGGTAATTGCCCTAAACGTTTAGGAATTTGGGGCCAAAAAGGGGCCAGAAAACAAGCATTTTTCTAGTTTCCAGACAATAACGTGTGTTCAAGTGTATGGCTCTCTCTGAAATTGTACTGCAAGGTACCATACCATAAAGGGAAGGCTGGGATTGAGTTTGGGGGTGATGAATCTTAAGGGGGTTCAAAAAATTGGGGGGGGGGGGGTGATTTTTTTTTCCTTTTTTTCCTTTTTTATTCTTTAAAATTTTCCATTTTAAATTGGTTATTTCTGATTTATAAATAAAAGCAAATAATAATGCTATGGTTTGAATAAAATTTTTTTTAAGTTCTTAGACCACATTCATTCTGTGTCAGAAACCTATGCTGTGTCAAATATTTAATCACAATCCAAATTCAGTGCTGTATCAAGCTTGAATGTTGTGTCCATACTTGCCCCAACTGTTCAGGGTTCGACCTTTGCGGTCGTATCAAGCTGCGCCCAGCGGAATGTTTTGTCTATTAACAATGAAGTTATCCATTAGGTCTCTGTCGTGCATTCTTACTTAACAGTTTTACCACAACAGCCATTCATTTGTTTTTAGCAGTACCATTCACTAAAATACAAATGGAATACACTTGACCAAGATAATCTCCATTCATATTTAAATTATGCTGTTTAGAATTAAGAATGGAGCATCGGACCAGTTGCCGCCACTGTCAACTCGTTTTCTAAAAGACTGTTTATTTACCTTGTTCATTAGACCTAATACCGGCTCACTAAAACACTCAAGCGAACATTCTGAGATTAATTGTCAGAGATCGTACACAACATAGATAGATGTAAACTGCAAAAATTGAATAATCAATGTAGTTTAAAAATTGAATTTTGATAATTCGTTATAGAATTCAAACGGCCTATTCAGGATTTTTTCAAACTTCGCTGTAATCGTGAAAAGGTTAACGAAATGCTTTAAAACAGTTACTACACTTATCGAGTGGCACGTCTTATTGTTACATAACTTCAATCCTTCATTTAAGGACAAGGGAATGAAAAATCGTGTATACTACGAAAACATGTAATACTCATTTTAGCATATTCATAAATACTGCATATACGTTCCGTCATATACGGATACCTCCTGGATACGTGCACGGATCGACGTATACGTATCGGGCAGATTTGTATAAAATAATGATTTAGCCCCGACGTCAATTAAAACTAAACAGAGGCAAATATGAACCAAATGTTGATGATATATAGTTAAAACACTATTTTTTTTTAATAAGACCAGAAACATACACGCTTCGTATTGAAGAATTGTGATAATTGCATTTTTTCCTATACAAATATCAACGATCAAATCGAACAAACCTTGCCTACGAAAAAATGACATGAACATTATTTATCAATAATAGTGTGTTTATTGCCAGAGGCAGGTTTAGAGGGTGGCCAAAGGGCCCGGGCCCCCCTTATCTAGGATTTTTTTTTTAATTCACCGGGATTAGTGGCAAAATATGGTCCGACCCCCCTTATCAAACTGCTTATAAACCGAAAAATTGAGCGCCCCCCCCACCCCCTTTTCAAAATTTCTTGATCTGCCACTGATTGCTACACATTTAAGTTATATTTGTTGCTTTACGACCACATTTTATATCAAAATCCTTTCTTGTACGTTTTTTCTCCGAAATTCCAGTTAATTGAAGTTTACAATAGGTTATGGATTGGGGGATGGGGGCTTCATTTCTGTATTCTTTATCTTTAAAAATAATGGCTATTCTGTAATTAACTTGACTTGATTTATTCTTTCCTCAGATACATGATATATGATAAGTCTATACGGATACGCCAGCAAATACGTGAATAATGCAAATGCTCTATTAGAAACAAATTAGAATTCTGAAATAATTTTACTGACGATTTGATGTCTTAGCTGTAACAGAAACACATTTAGATCCTAGTGTATCTGAAGATCAATTAAAACTAGATTCTTTCAATAGCATTATAAGGAAAAATCGAAACAACTTTGGTGGTGGATTAATGATATATCTGAAAGATGATATCGGTATTGTCCGTAAAAGCGAATTAGAAAATCCCTTTGATGAAACACTTTGGGTTGAAATACGAGCCAAAGGTCAAAACTTTCTTCTCTGTCATTCATATCGTCCACCGAATGCGGACACTGACTTCTAGGCACGATTGAATTATGCAATAGAAACTGTCTTTCAAATTAACGTAAATATAGTGGTCACTGGTGATCTGAATTTTGATCTTTTTAATGTCCATAATAATATACTTATTGACACTTTGGATTTGTTCAATCTAAGAAATGTAATTGATAAAGCAACAAGAGTTACTGATAAAAGTAGTACACTCTTAAATCCTATAATAATAAGTGACTGTATGTCATATTATTTATCAGATGTTTTAAATATTCTCTCAGAAACTAGTGATCACAATGCAGCAGTGATATTTCTTGAGTGTCCATCAGCAATGTCACGTACTTTCAAAAGAGAAGTGTGGATATAAAATTATAATAAGATAGATAAAGAT